GGGGGGATTAGTGTTTTACGGCGCTCGCAACTGCATAAGGTCATATGAGCGCTCGGGGAGCATTAAATTTAAACATTTTCAGTTGGTTGGAAATTTTGAATTTTGCCAGGGTGGGGGCCAAAGCCTACTATTATCGATTTTAGACTACCAAGGGATCTTTAACGTGCGCAACCTGCACACGGGACTTCCGAAATTTTTTGCTCTTGACCAAGAAAGCTTGGTGATAATCTTCCCTACCAGGAGATCAGGGGTGAGGCTGAAAGACAACAGTAAGAAGGAGCCAAAGATAAGCAGTAGAAAGGCTGCAGGAAGAGTCAGGAGCCCAGGGGAGGGGGCAAAGGAGGTGAGGGGGTGGGAGCAGAAAGTGGAGACGAAAGCAGACGATAAAACATTACCAGAGAACAGGAAAGGTTTTGAAAGAAGACAATTTTTAGAGAAGAAAATATTTTTTTCGTCACTGCTCGGATTCGAACCCTGGACCTTTGAATGAGAGGAGAACACCGAGAGCCTCCGAGTATTGTTTATGATTTACCCGGTACATGTTATCGATCCAGAAACAGCTGGGCTCTCGCCTTTCTTCCCAATGCCGTATGTAGTATAATGTAGTGATGATAGATAACTGCATGTTTGCTGCAGTGGGTATGATGTTCCATAGAGTGTGTTGTCAATGTTAATGTTAATGTTGGGTCTCAGAGGGGGGAAGCGTGGCTTACGAGGTGGTAATGGGTGCCCGGCTATAGACAACGAAAGATCTTGTCAGTGTTTGTTGAGCGCGTGCAATCCGCAGCTTGCGCTGCATGGTTCCTGGGAAGCAAAAAATGCTTCCGAGTTTTCTAGGGTCTGTTGGGATATCAATACATGTAGTTGTAGTAAGTAGTCGTAAAGAACATAATATTAGAGCATGCTGTAGAGCGTGGACGCGCTATAAAAGTGCAATGTTTTTACTTAATATTACCCTGCCAGAGTCTAGGGGTAGTCAACTTGATTCTACTACCTTTATTTCCTGCTTCATAGCTAGGGCCCTTTGCCTTCAAATGCACTTTCAGTTTTTGTTTGGGGCTAATTTTGAATTTTTCACGGGTGGTGACACCCATGAAAATTTTTTAGGGCCACCAAGGGATCTCAAGAGCAACTCGCGACCTCAGTGCTTTCTTGTCCTATCTCCATTTTTAATAACAGTGAAAACAGTTCATAATACATGTAATCATAACAAAGAGTGAGCTTGGCTTAAGAAGAAATCACACTTTCAATGTTTTAAAAAATGGAGATATGCCCAGAAAGCACCGAAGTCCCCAACTATGTACAAAGGTCCTCTGACCGAGATTTTTTGCCCTTGTCTGAGAAGGTGATGCGTTCGATCTCCAAAGCTATCCTAAAATCAAGGGTGCGGCTGAAAGTGAAAGACAACAGTAGAAAGAATCAGGAGTAATCGAGAGAGGATAAAGAGGAGACAAAAGATGGGGCGAGAGTGGAGAGAAAGGTTTCAGTCTTGAGTTTTTTCACAGCACTTGCAACACAATACGGTCATATAAATGGCGAAGATTAGAGGTGTCATAAGACAGTAACAAACACAAAAAAGAGGAGAGATCTAATGATGAAAGATGTTAGATAGGAAAGAGAGGAGCAAACCACACCAGAGCACCTGCCAATCACTTTTGAGTTGAGAGGAAAGCAGATGACAGGTCTGGTATGGATAGAGAGAAGGAAAGGAGGATAAAAAAAAAAATTCTAGAGAAGAAATGTATAAATTAGTCTCTGGCAGGTTTCGATCCAGTGATCTTTTGACTGGGAGTGAGGCAAGCACCATGCCTCTTCTTAGGCCATGAGAGCCCCTAGTGAGACATTAATATATAGAGTAATAAATAACAAAGGTATGAACAAGCACAAACCAAGCAAAACAAAATACACCACTGTTTTAAAGTTAAAGAGCCATTTTTAATGTCCATGGCAGTGTTCAATTTTCAGTTTCATTATCACTTATCACTTGCCCAATTCAAGTTTTTGTAGCATAACACACGAAACGTTCCATTGAATTCAATTTCCCAAAACCAGCTCACAGTGAAAGGATACTAAATCTAAAGAATTTCACACCTGCACTGATATAAAAAAACAAAATAATTTTCTTGAGTCTCACAAAGAAAAAGGTGCAGTATTTATACTAATTTGCAATGATCTAAGCCAAAGAAATACAGTTGTATAAAAGTGTACAAATGACTTAAATACAAAGGCAATCACATGAAGCTAGGACTTTCCTGCATATCATTCGCCTGTGAACATTTCTCAATTTTGGTTTCTCTGAATTCACTTTTGCTTTCGCTTCTTTTCTAAAATCATAATGGCATGACAATACTCAGTTTCCTAGTAATCTTTTTCAACTGGTGGTTTTTATTTTTTTAGTTGATGGAGAATGCATCAGCAAAGTAACAATGAGTTATCAAAGTGGGTACAAGTCTGCTATTCACAAAAACTTGAGTACCACTCAATGAAAATGAAAAAAAAAAAAACCACAGCAGAGCTGCAGTTCCAGCAGCTCGCAGGAACACAGCAAAGCAGCAATGTAAAAAATAAAAAAGCATTCATTTCATGAGCAGGTTTGATGCAAACCAGATGCGTGATGGAAAAAATGCATGTGCGCCAGCAAAATTATTCTCATGAAAATAACCATTTCATCGACTTGTGATGTCAAAGAATTGTATGGAAACGACACTTGCATTGACCAATGATCTGTACTGACCATATATCTTTATTCACCGATATTTTCATGACATAAGGTGGTGAGCATAACATACAGACTTCAAAATGTGATGAAGACATGATCAAATTCTTCAACTAAGAAAAAAAACGAAAAAAAAACGAAAAAAAACTTATATACATATATTCAAAACAAAATTATTTATTGGCCACAATTGCTTCTTCTATTTTTGACTGATTAGCTCCAATCACTTCTTGGACCTGCAAAAATAAAAACAAGACAAAAAGTTAATTGTTTGTGAGAGAAGAGAGGCAAAAAGTGGAGACTGACCTACATTTTATTTTTGGACATGTAGATCTATTTCTGACACAAATCACTTCCCAATGAAACAGATATTTGGGTTTTTGGCAAAACACCTTTCATGTTCATTTGATGAAGACACATTTCCACATGTGAATTTTACTGAAAAACCTTGTTTAAAGACATAAAACATGTAATTTTCAATTTTCATTGACTCTCAAGCTATTGAAGTTATCAAACTTTGGCGGACATTTTCTCATAATTTAACCACTGAAACCAGGGTACCCCACCTTCTTCAATCACAATTATCTCGACTTTTATTCAAGCCAGATGGATATTTTTTCATTGAAAGCAAGGCAAATGAATAAGCATTCAGATGATATCAACAACTTTACATGCCCAAAAATTGACGAGCGCCTGATTCCACAACGTCGTGACACATATAGATCAGATAAGCAACCAGGAATGGCAAATTTTGCCATCGTACAGCACAAAGCTAACATTCACACATTTTCATGACGTAGGTACAGAGTAAACCTGATATAACAGGGATAGTGGGACCAGATAAAAAGTCCTGTTACATCAGATCCCTGTTAAATCAGAAATGCAATGGAACTAAGCATTTGTGGATTAATCCCGCTGTATTTATTCATGGGTAATTTCCCTTGCTACAAGTACCCATGAACAGGGGTTTTGTGCCATGAGGCAGGCCTGTGCACAACGCATTACGCATGCGTCTCTCTCTCTCTCTCTCTCTTACTTTTTACACACTGTTAACAAGCCTTTGTCCTTGCTAAAACAGATTGGGCTCCGATGAGGCCCTGTTATTGCTGATAACTTTTAATAGAGACAAAAAAAGAGGAAAGATCAGGACGAAGATGTTTGATAGGAAAGAAGGAGCAAACCACACCAGAGCACCCGCCAACCACCCACAGAAAGGATGTGAAAGGAGAACATTTTAGAAAAGAAAATTTTCCATCACTATGCGGATTCGAACCCTCGAACCCCAGACCTATTGAATGAGAGGCGAACACCTTAACCTCTAGACCACAAGAGCCCCCTTTCGACATCTTACCTTTGAGCCATCTCTGAACAACTGGATGGTTGGCATAGCAGTGACATCACATTCTTCTGCTGTATCCTGGAGATTAAAAAAAAAAATATCACATATAGGGAAGCAATTATGAGTTATAATTTTAATTGGCCCATAACAGCACTTTCAACGCAAATAGATCGCAAAAATGCCCAAATTTGGAGGTGTAATTAAAGAATAACATCCTACAGTATAACATTGATAGGTTGAACACAGAAAACTCGAAACCATGCATCCGTCGAACTGTGCGTGCAGTTCCCTTTTTTTCTTTTTCTTTATCTTTGTAATATATCCCTCGAACTAGCGAGACCGGTCCTGACGAATTCGAGCTATCTGTGTTATACTGTACATAGAAAAGAAGGAGATATATGAACAACAGATGATTGATAGGAAAGAAGGAGCAAACCACATTAAGCACCTGCCAACCATCCACAATGGGAGACAAAAATCATTTAAAATTCAAATTAAATCGAGTAGTACAACATTCCTTACTCTTCTCCCAAAAAGTGATGGCGAGTTCAGGCACAAAGAAGCACTGTAGCTGACTTTTGTAATCAGTGAGACAGCATAATGATCATATTGTTTTTATTATCTTGCAGAGCATGAACTTGCTTTCGAACGGTCAAATTAATAACATGTCTCAACCAAGACATTTTGCCTGTTTGCATGATCCCTTGCCTAAACACCCACAGTATTGGGATCACTGATCAATTCCGTCTCAGTGTAAGCAAAACAGCCCACTGGAAAAGGATCTGCTGTAATTGAATATATATGTGATGAGCCATTGCCAAAACGTGGGGAAAAACACACACATCTCACATTCGTGTGCATAAAATGTGATGCATTAGTTTTTATTCCTCCAAAACTTTTACACATGTCAAATATAGGATGTAGAACCTGCATTAGCAGTTTCAGGCCCATGTCTGCTTTCCAATCTTGAGTTTGTAAATTTTGTGCCAAAAATGTTCCGTTTTTTTGTGATTCCTGGAGTGTAATTTTGAGCACACCAATGCAAACTTTTTGGATCACTTGTGCGTCAGTCGTGTCGTCACGGACTAGGTGTTTCAGAAAACACCATTATTTTTCAGTAGAATCACCGTAGCTGGTTAAATCTTTCTGCTTTTCGTCATTTATTCAATACTTCATCAAAAGCCGCGATGCGCGAAAGGAACATCGGGTTCCTAGATCTACGATTTCGGTCGGCTGTTTAACATTCGCCGTGATTGTCGTCACCTTGCGACGTGCCGGAAGTCCGAATTTCGCCCACTTTTGTTTTGAACGTGTCATCAGCAGTGCCCGGATATAATTGTTTTCTTGAGTGACTTCCCCTTACCCGCTTCCCCAGAACAACGGAAGCAATGGGGGAAACAGAAAAACGAAAGTAGTCATTGCCTTCAGCGTCCGGTCATGCACAAGAATCTTGCGTTGAATGTGACGTACTGGACTGTTTTGCGTGTTTTTAGGCTACTCTGTTGAATATTTTAGTGAAATTGCGGTGTTTACACTGGATTCCTGGAACAAGAGTATGATGTGTGAACAAACTTCGAGAGATGGATCATTTCTGTGGTTATAGATTTAGCTTTTGTGTTTAGTGATGATGTTTCGGGTGTCGTCATGCAGCCGTACAAGACTGACTGACGTACTAGAAATTACATTGTCCTCAGAGCAAACATTTTTTAAGTCATGTGTGCTCTCTTTACTCAAACAAATAAACAAACCTGTCCTTGTTTATCTGTCTAACCCAAAAATACACATTTGTTCTTTGTTGGTATGATATACCTTTTTCCAATACATTGTGTCATCATTGTTATGTACAAGTCATATTTGTCCTCATTGCTAACATCAGTAAGTTTTCAACATATATTTCATTCATGCAAGATTCATTTAGAAGCAAAATATGCCTTTATTGATCTGTGTATCTCTTATGCAAATTTGTTCTTTGTAGGCATGATTTTTACCTTTTCCCAGTATGTTTTGTCATCACTGTTATGTACGAGTACTGTTTGTCATAATTAGCAACATAATTGTGATCGTCCACTGTCTTTGATATGACCTGATATCTGTTTCAAAGCAAAAGAAACCTCTCCTGGGTTTTTTTTTAATTCTTAAAGTGCGCATTTCTCTCTAGAGGCATGACTTCTTTTCCTGTACATTGTGTCATCCTTGTCTGTTATGTACAAGTCATGTTTGTCATCACTGTTATTGTACAAGTCAGCTCCATTGATTTTGTGCTTTTGCCTCATATTAGTTTAAAAATTGTTTTACACATGTGTTTTTCTGGTACTGAGGCTTTGATAACTGTATTTGTACAGCCTTTCCTTTCACTATTGTGATGTGTTGTCAATGATAATGTTTAATGTGTATCCTTTCTTGTACATAACAATGATGACATGTTATGTGCACTGCGTCATTGTTACAAAGCTTGTCATTCATATTACCATTATGAATGGAGTTCATAGTGTACAAAGTCTTTGTTTATTAAACAAATGGAATTTAAAGTCCATAATTTGCCTTGCTGCTTATCTGTTTTTGGCATCACTGTTACATACAAGAAATACAGTAATTGCCAAACCAATAGACCCATATCTCCAAAACCCTACATCTCTTTGCTCTGATACTCTAGGAATATGAGCACTAAATGTCAATCTGTGACTGACAGAAAAGAGAGCCAAATTGGTAAGAAAATTTTTTTTGCACCACTGAGTCTCAAGAGAGTCTCACGTTTTGGCAATTGCTCATATAAAAAATAATATAATAAGCTGAAGGTGCAATGATACTGGTAGTTTCCCTTGATAATGGTTATAACAGCACTCCCTTATAACAGAGAAAAACTGCCGGTCCCGTCTGTCTTGTTATATATATCCAAGTTTGACTATAAACAAACTCGAACAAAAAAAATTTTTAAAGTACAAATCTGACAAATAAATTACTTACAGCATTCTCATCTACATCTATTTTGACGATCACAACATCAGGGTATTTTTCGGACAGCTTCTGAAAAAGAACATTAACGAAAATGAGATTAATATTTTGAAACTCAATTTCACTACTATCTAAAATGGGCTAGTGCTGAACTTCCTACAAGTGACTGACAAACCTCTCTCATGTCATGGTCAACACAGATTAGATCCTAGTGGAGGCAGGCTGCTTACTGTCGAGGCTAACGTAGTGTTTTTTAGATTGACACGGGGATAAAAATTTTTTAGAAAACTGTATAAAGTGCAATCTATGGCAAAGACAGTCTATTGCTTTAGTAACTAAAGTAACTTCCAACCTTATCTTGTTTAATTGTAAAATCATACTAGTAACAAGCTGAAATAAAACTGTGCAGCTTCAATACCACAACAAAAAGAGAGAGATAGAGATAGAGATAGAGATAGATAGAGAGAGAGAGAGAGAGAGAGAGAGAGAGAGAGAGAGAGAGAGAGAGATGGAGAAGAAAGAAAGAAGGAAAAAGGGCAAAACACAGAAAATGTTAACTGTGAGAAACAGATATGCATTGTTATCTTCTTGTGGATTTGGAATGTAAGACAAAGAGTTCAAGGTATTTCCATAGCAGGTTTAATGTGAAATAAACGTCACAGAAGAGCAGGAAAAATGCTGAAGTGAACTTCCTTTTTCCCCGTTTACTGAGTGACTGAGTGAGATGAACTGTCTGTTCGCAACAGCGGCCATATGGGAAACAATCAGACATGGAAGACTACCATACAAACAAAAACCAAAAAAAATTAAAAATCATAACTATAGACAATAATGTCCTTAGTTTCAACAAAAATCTACTGTGCAAGTCAAATCATCAGTCCAGTTGAGTCATTATCCTAGCATGTAAAAATCGGGAAAATGTTAGTGTAGATTTTTTTTTAAGAGCATTTGAGCAAAGAATGAAGTTAAAACAATGATCACCAATGTCTGTCCCATGGCCCTCTGTGACAATCCCAAATCCATTTTTCATTTTTTCATTGGGTAACAATGAAACACAAGCTTCCAACATACCTCCAAAAAGGGAGCGATGACTTTGCATGGGCCACACCATGTTGCAAAGAAGTCGATAACAACCAACTTTTTCTCGGAGGAGATCAGGTTGTCAAACTCTTCCTGTAGAAGAAAAAAACAAAACAATGCTATATGAACAACCAAAGAAAAACCATCTACATTATAACACAGATAGTTCGAATTCATCGGGACCTGCCTCAGTAGTCTGAAGGATCCATAGTACGAGGGATATCTTACAAAGATGAAGAAAAAAGAAAACTGGACCGCAGGCACAATTTGACAGCTGCCTGATTTCGCGTCTTCTGTGTTCGACATATCCGTGTTATACTGTATTCTGTTTAGAAACTGAAATTTTCGCCTGGACCAACCTGATTTGTTAACCCATTGAGCCTTGACCTCCTGAGGCTACCGTGCCCCTCTGACCCTCCTCCTGAGCTCATGAGCGATTCATGCCTTCATTCATATTATCATCAGAATCACTTTCCATACCAACTCAGAGTAGTCCTCGTCATTATCAGCATCTAAGTCAGAAAGACCTTCAAAATAATCAATAAGATCCTGTGTAGTAAACAGTTTCCTGCACGTTTTGTCCAAGGCCTGCCGGTGTGCTGATAGGGCCTCGCTCACTGGTGTACCGGTGGCTAGGCATATGGGCAGTTTTACACGCACCCAGTGTACCAGTGGCAAGGGCTCAAAGAGTAAACAAGTTCCAAATGTCACATTTTAATTACGCTGTTTATAACATCAGACTGTGTAGCCTTTATACAAAAAACAATTTTTCAAAACTCAAAAGCAATTTTTATTTCATAGCCAAGCAATTACTACTCCATCCATAAGTTTCAACTATCCATGAGATTAATATATACAGTGGAGTCCACTTATAACGAGTCCGGAAAAAACGAGAAGTCTGTTATAAAGACACTATTCTAAAACCCTGTTTTTTTTCTCTTCTTTACCTTTGTAAATAAAATACTGCTATAGCGCTATCAGACAAACATGCAGGTCGGTTATAGCAGAATATTGCTGCTGCTGTGCAGTGAACAGTGCATAGAGGTCATACATATTGTAAAACCTCGCCAGTTGAGAAACTTGGTGATCCAGTGAAACAAAGAATGGGAAAGCCCATGTGTGTCAACAATGAAGGCCGTAGCGACTGAGTAGGGAAGGTGTGGCATGTGCAGACAAGCAGAATGCGTCGCGTGATAGGCCAGTGTAAGCCTAGTTTAGATTAACAAGGCCTACCATGCCTCTCACTTCTCCGATGCGGGAATGGAGAGGTCACAGTGATTTAATGGTTGGAACAAATAAGTGACATGCGCAAGCTGACGAAATGCACCACAGGGTGTGGTGCGGTGGGGGGAAAACTCAGCGGGCGAGTTAGCCCAGAGCCCTTTCTTTCTGATCGCCAATGCCGAGCTGTCAGTCAACGTCACTAGATTTAGCGCTACAGAAACAAACCTGATTCGATTTTTGATCAAGTAAGACCTAGAGGTCATGTTGAAACCAAATCATCATCAAGGAAGATAGCAAAAAGGAATATAAACAAAACACCAAACTCATAGATTTGGTCTACTTTACAGTTTCCCTTGAATTTATTACTGGATCCATTATAGCGAGAATCCTGCTATAACGGACATTTTGCTCCAGTCCCCTCCCTCTCGTTATAACAGGATTCCACTGTATTCTACCATGCGTATCTATTGATTAATATCATAATAAACATGGCATGGAAGGGAAAGGCAACTTATATTCATTTCAAATTATATAGTTTGATGAAAACAATCATGACACTAGTTAGTAGGTCAGATCTTTTATAAGTACAACATGACGAATCCGCTGCATAACAAGAAAAGTGTTAGATTGGAACCCACAGGGTAAAAGATCATGGGGAAGACCTCATGGAACCTAGAGAAGAGTCACGGAAATGGATGTACAGAAAAGTGGGAAGACGTGGAGTGACATCAAGCGACTAGCCCAGGATAGGGAAAGGTGGAGAGTGTTTGTCCGTGGCCTGTATCCTGACCAAGGGTGAGAAAAGCAATGATGATGATGACGAATCCGCAGAATGTGAGGACCTTCCAGGTCAAATTTGGTGAAGCAAAGTAGAGATTATTTGAATTTGATACAAACAGTGTGCATTGGCCAACACCATTACCAGACCTGACCCTATCTAATCTTATATAATTAATAAAAGCATTTATCAGCAGTAGCCCATTCTCTCCCCACTGCGATCCCCACATTCACTTGAGTTCAAAAACTTAAGAAGTGAAGTCCTTTAAACATAAAAAGCACACTCAAATGATGGTTAACTAAAACTCAACTAACAATGAGAAGATTTATAAGGCATAATAAGGTATAATATTCGACAACACTCGAACGGAGAGATCAAAATAAATAAAAGATTAGAGACAAGTGTTGGCCCATAGATAGAATTGGTAAATTTTTTTTATCAGTTCCAGCCTGTTCCAGAGATGCAACTTTAATCTGTGACGAGCGACCACCCCAACAAACGCAATAAAGAATAGACCTATCACCTTGACCCAAACCCTCTATTCTTCTGTTTCATTGTGGTGCTTACAGAATTCCTCCCCAAAAAGTAAGGGCTCAATTCTACATTTCTACGTGCGTATTTTAGCTGCCGAACACACAACATGGGCCACCAAAACTGTCCTAATCCTAAGTCAATTTTTTTTGTAAACGTCAAACCTTATACTTATAAATAAGGCCGGCACTATTTCTCCGAACGTTCGGGAAAATAAAGCTGGGCACTATTTCTCCGAACACTCTGAAATCACACCCTTTCCCGCATATTTCGGATAATAAAAATAAAATATAGATCTATAATTATATTATAGGCCTACCAAAGATTGTTCGTATACAATATGGTTCAATCGGTCCAAAAAATGTCCGTATTTATATAAAGAAATGCTACAGTTCCAAACAGTTTTTCGCTACAGATATGACGTGTGGCCTATGATGGGTGCTGCTCTTAAACTTAATGTGTTGCGTTCACTCGTGAGCTGTCTAGATCTAGATCTATGGAGGGTTATTGATAACGACACATAGAGCTAGCATCTGCGTTTGTCGAGGCCGCGACCAATCAATCGTGGCTCGATCTTTTGGTCCCCGAAAAAGTCCAAAAAAAAGAAAAGAAAATGAAACTCTTTACTTTTGAAAGAAAGTTCACTTAGCTTCACTTCGTCTCTTTCTCACTTGTTGTCACCACGTTGATTTGTTGAATACGTTACAGTTACATACGATTTGTATTGCTGTTCCTCTTTTATTTTTCGTTCATTTTTCCCTCTTTGTGGTGTTATATTTTGTTGGTGTGTATTTTTTTTCCCTTGTTATTGTTCTGATGTGTTGTTTTTCTATTAATTTTTTGTTGTTGGGGAAAAGGGGGGGGGGGGGGGTTGTATAGTGTAACGTCATTTAATTTGATGTTCCTACAAAAGGTATTGTGTAACGTCATTTAATTTGATGTTCCTACCTTCATTAGATTCTAAATATATATACCTGTATAGATTTAAATGTGCTATGTTAGAGCGTTCCACCAAAACCAAGTACATGTACTGACACTGGCAGGCCCCCTGTGTGTGGTTCCATAATTTCCATGCAATATCCTGTACTTTTTTTTAACAAATTACGCACATTTAGGGTTAAAACGGTCAATCTTCTTCGGACAGGTGGAAACACGCCCTTATTTGTTAATTGTTGTGGTTGTTTCTGGGCTGTTCTAGTTTTGATTTCATTCTGTTGTGAAACCTTTCTTTTTCACGTTTTTACACTCATCTAAAAATCTCTAGACTAGATCTAGCTCTTGAAAATTGAAATAGATCTAAACCCAAAAATTTGCTCCGTTTTTTTTTTTAAATGGACGATAACCGTCCACTCAATAGAAAAGAGGGTCAGATTTCTCCGTCTCTCGGGTGCCTCAGGCAGTACCCGCCTCGCTAAACCAGTGGGCACACGGCCGGAGGAGAAGCTGAGAACAGATACCACCTTTGATTTGCTCCTTCCCAGACCTCGCAGAATGACGGAATGAAAGTTGGCGCCGAACTCTCGCAAATAGGCAAACAATCACGACCAGAGCGGAAGCCGGAAACCGTTCGGAGAAATAAAGATCGGCACTATTTCTCCGAACGTTCGGAGAAATAGTCACTTCGTATAAATAATCACAAAATAACAAATTTTGAGAAAATGAAGGTCCAGATTTTTTTTTAAACACAAGGGGGCGTGCCCTACTGGACACCCCCCGAAATTCAGTTAGAGTCTAGATCATATAAATGCCAAGTTTAGCACAAGTAGACTATAAGAATAGCTTGCGATTTATGTAAAGTAAAAATTTGTGGAAAACAGATAAAAAATAAAAAAGAACATTTGCTAGATCTATCTAGATTCTAGATCTAAATCTAGATCTATACAGATCTAGAATCTATCTGAGGAAGTGAAAATAAAATAATACCCTCCTAATCTGCTGACTAAAATTAAGTAAGCCTTAGGGTTGGCCTACTAACCAAAACATCATGATCAGCTAGATCTAACTCAAGACTCTACAGTGGAAAGCCAGAATCTAGATATCTAGATATCTAGTATCTAGATTTAGATCTAGATCTAGATCTAGATGTAGCCTAGATCTAGATCTAGATGTAGCCTAGATCTAGATTTAGCCCAGGCCTAGCCTAGAGTCTATTCTAGAAAAGCAGAATCTTCCTTGGCGCCAGTTGGCGCGGAAACCGTCGCCCATGGGTGGGTGGTTGGCGGGGGCTGCTACTGCTATGCCATGGTGTGGTTTGCTCCTTTCCCTGACCTGTCTTTCGATCTGACATGTCGTCCCAATCTTTCCTCGTTCTGTTTGGATCTAGATCTAGATCTAGATTTAGATCCTTATGTGACCTGGTTATGTTGCAAAAGCTGTAAAACTTACTAAAAACTAAAAACTAAAACGTCGTCCGTCCCAGTCAGGGGCCGCGCCGGATCACTCGTGACGAAATCACGATTCCTTCTCTCGGTCTCAGTCAAATGACACTCGCCTCGTGAAAATTTGGCATTATCCTCTTCATACTTCATATTATTCATTTCAAAAGTTGTCAAACAAAAGAAAATGATTATGTTTAAACTTACCTTTGTTTCGATAACCCTCATCTTTGATTTGGTGGAGAAACTGGGCTTGATGAAGTCTTGTTCGCCTTTGTTCTTACTCTTGCAACCTGGTTTGTGCGGAGAGAATTGGGAAGGCGGCGGAAGAGAAGGGAGAGAGAGGGAGAAGGTGAAACTGCTGTGTCATGTCTGCTTGTCCCGTCCCCTGACCTTCGATACCTCTCACAAAATTCCGTAGAATAGTATCGATACCAACACCGTGACAGATCTCTAGCAATAGGCCTAGGCCTAGTCTAGCCCACAGAATTCTACACTAGTGTAGAATTCTGTGGTCTAGCCCAAATAAGTTAACAATAAAATAAAATTATAATGCACATGTTTATTATACATACGTACAGATTTACATTATACTTGTAATTTTCCTTACACACCTAGAACTGAGGAACCGAAACAACCGCTGTGACTGTGAAGGTCTCTGAGCCCTTTCACTTTCACTTTCACAGGTGTGACGTTGGCCTAGCCTAGCCTGAAATGGTCAGGCGAATATGAAACTTTCAGATGGTCAGGCGAATGAAACTTCTAGATCTAGCTGAGAGCTTTCAGTCAGTAAATTTCAGTTTTAGCCCAGGCCTAGTTCGACTTCAACTTGACAGATCATGTTTCCTCATTTACTTCTGGTAAAACGAGGGTTGCCTTCAAAAACGCATGCTCTCTCTCTCTCTCTCTCTCTCTCTCTCTCTCTCTCTCTCTCTCTCTCTC